TTCCGCGCTTCCGCTCGTTCCGAATCGTGCTCCCGCTGCATCGCTGGCGTCATTTCCCGTGCCATGCCACGGCATGCAATGCAATGCTAGGTTGCGTTCCGCTGCGCGATGCCATGCCTTCAGCTGAAGCTGTGATATGCAGTGCTTAAGTACCACGTCGTGCTATGCCATGCTACGCTTCGATCTTCAACGCCATGCTATGCAATGTTATGTTCGGGGCCGCTGTGCAATGCCATGATTTGCGTTGCAAAACTTTGTGATGCAATTCTTCACTACGCCACGCCACGCCATGCTGTGACATACTACGCTTTGCAGTGCTCTTCTACGCCATGCCATGCCGTGCTCTACAATGCATCGCGTACCCTTTCGGGATCATTATTCTGCTCGACATCCGACTGTGCGAGTAGAGAGGGGATCTACGCCATGGTAAGGGATGGGAGGGAGGGGTAGGATGTCAGATATGACGCGAGCGCACCTAGCTTGCCTCTCCCTCCTCCCTCCTCCCCCCCCTCCCCTCCTCTCCTCCCCTCCCCTGCTCCCCACCGCCCGGGGCTGCTCGCCGAGGACGCCGACCCCTTCGAGCTCCTGGTCTACCCGAACCGCAGCGCCGACCGGCTCAGGGAGGCGCCGCGCAGGTGCAACCTGCCGCTCGGCTTGCGGCCCGGGTGGGAGGCGCCGCCGCCGCCGCCGCCGCGGCCGCGGGCGCCGCCGCCGCCGCCGCCGCCGCCTGGCGACGTCTCGGGGCGGCCGCGCCGCTCGCGGGGGCCGCCCCCCGACGGACGGACGGACGGGTTTTCCCGAAGGCCCCGAAGACGTCCCAAGAGGCACCCCGAGAGAGGCCTAATAAGCCAAAATCGTCGATTGCTTATAGGAAAACTAATATTTTTGTCGTGTTTGCCTTTTGGGCGTCCACTGCGTCCAAGACGGCCCAAGAGGCACCCAAGCGGGTCGATGATGCCCCCAAGAGTCAAGCAGTGGCGAAGCGTGTTGGCGTGCCTATAGCCCTACCAAACAATGTTCTAAGAACTGTTTGTGGTTCCCACGAAATGTTCTTAGAACATTTCTGGCTGGGACTGTCTTGTTTTATCACATCGGGTTTATGTTCTAAGAACACTGTTTTGGTTCTTAGAACATTTCTGGGTTGTAAGAACATTTCGTGGTAGGACTGTAGGAATGCCGGGACGGTCGGTCCCTGCTCAAAAGAGGGCCCCAAGACGGCCCATGAAGGGGCCAAGACGGCCCCAAGGCGGCGCCCAAGACGGGGACGAGGAACCGAAAATGTTGGCCTTTTGGCCCAAGAGACCCTAGGAGACCCCAAGAGGCTCCAAGAAGGGGCCCAGAAGCCACAAGAGGCCCCCATGAGACCCGAACAAAAATACACAAGAGGCTCCGAAGACGCCCCAAGAGGCACCCCGAGAGTGGCCAAATTAACAAACATCGTCGATTTCCCATGGGAAAACTGATACTTTTGGCGTGTTTGCCTTTTGGGCGTCCACTGCGTCGAAGACGGCCCAAGAGGCAGCCAAGCCAGTCGAGGATGCCCCCAAGAGGGCCCCAAGACGGCCCACGAGGGGGCCAAGACGGCCCACGAGACGCCTAAACCGTCCAAGAACGCCCCCCAGGAGCAAGAGGCCTTTCCGGGGAGCCTCCACAGCGCCCCAGGAGGGCCCAAGACGCCTCTCAGGAGCACCCAGAATGCGAAAGGATGGTCCAAGACGTTCCCAAGCAGCCCAAGTCAGCCTTCGGACGGCTCTCGAGGCTCCCGGGTGGCCTCCAAGAGACCCCAAGGGAGGTCCGAGAGGTGTCCCGGGACAGCCCGAAGAGGCCCAAATCGTCGATTTCCATGTGTTTTTTTCAATGTTTTTGGCCTCCGCGTTTTCGAGCTTCCAATGGTCCAAGAGCGCCGAAGAGGCTCCCAAGACCGCCCCAAGACCACCCACGAGACCCTCAGGACGGCCCCAAGACGAGCCAAGAAGGCTCCAAGACTGCTGAAGAGGTGCCCAGGACAGCCCCAGACTGCCCCAGAACAGGCCCAAAATGGGCCCAAGAGCGGGAGCAGGAGGCTTCCAGCGACCAGGGGGGAGGGGAATGCGAGAGGGGGGGGGCGGGGCACGGTCGGCCGGAATAGAGCAAGCCAGGGCAGGGCACGGGGCAGGGAGAGGAGAGGGGATCACGGTCGGTCGGAAGAAGGTAAAACGAGATGAGGGGAGAGTGATGAGGGGGTGGTGGGTGGTGATGGCGGGGAGGGGGGCGCGGTCGGTCGGAACAACAGGCACGCGTGCCAAGGATCATGCAATTACGGATGTGGGACAGTGGGAGATGGAGGTGGCGCTTGCCTGCGGCAGTTTTGGGGAAGCGCGCGAGTGCTGCGACGCGCTGAGCTGGCGGCGCCATGGTGATATTGGGCGTTTCTGGTGCTGATTGGGGGTTTTGTGCGGGCCCGTCGTCTGGGAGGGGGGCACGGTCGGTCAGAATAAGCCAGGGGAGGGGAGGGGGGGCAGGCCACGGGGTGGGGGGAGGGCGCGGGACAGGGAGAGGGGATGGGGCACGGTCGGTCGGAATAAGCCAGGGCGGGGGCGAGGGGAGGGTAATGGGGAGGGGGGGAGCGGAGGAAAGGGGGAGGGGGGGCGCGGTCAGTCGGAATAAGACAGGGTCGGAATAAACCAGAGAAAGGGGGGCACAGATGACGGGGGGGCGGGGGCGTGGGTGGTCGGAGTAAGGAAGGGGGGCGAGGGCGAAAAAGGCAAAAGGGCCACGGGGCGGGGGGAGGGCACGGGGCAAGGAGAGGGGAGAGAGCACGGTCGGTCGGAATATGCCAGGCGAGGCGATGGGGAGGGATATGGGGAGGGGGGGGGCACGGAGAGGAGGGGGGCACGGTCGGTCGGAATAAAACAGAGGGGGCGTGCCTGGAGCGGGCAGAGGGGGGGGGGGGCGAGGTCGGCCGGAAGAAATCAGAGGGGGGGCGCGGAGGATTCCAGGCACTCATTCCAGCAGACGGGGACAGGACACGCCCCGGCGTTCACAGTCCAGGACGCATCTCGTCGCGCATCCCAGGGCACGTCCAGCGCATTCCAGGCACGGGCGGTCGAAATTATGCAGTGCAAGACCACGCCGGTGGGCATGATAAGATAACAAGGGGGGCACGGGACAGGCACAGGGGATGGGACGCAGCCGGTCGGAATAAGCTAGGGGGGGCGCAGAAGAAGGGGGGGCGGAGGCACGGCCGGTCGGAATAAGCCAGGGGGGGTCTCGTGGGGGGAGGCAAAAAGGCCGCGGCATGGGGGGAGGGCGCGGGACAGGGAGAGGGGAGGGGGCACGGTCGATCGGAATCGGCCAGGGGGGCGAGGGGGGATATGATGAGGAGGGGGCGGAGAGCAGAGAGAAGAGGGGGCGCGGTCGGTCGGAATGCGCCAGGGGGGGGAGCGCGGGACTGGCAGAGGGGAGGGGGCGCGGTCGGTCGGAATTAGCCGGGGGCCACGGGGGGGGGAGGGGGAGGGACGGGGGGGGCAGGGGATAGGGAGGTGAGGGGGCACGGTCGGTCGGAATAAGCCGGGGGGGCGCGGGACAGGCAGAGGGGAGGGGGGCACGGTCGGTCGGAATAACGAACACGGTCGGTCGGTCGGAATACGCAGACGGGGGCCACGGTGCGGAGAGGGCGGGGGGGGCGCACGACGCGGTCGGGCAGGGGGGGGCACGGTCGGTCGGAATAAGCAGACGGGGGCCACGGGGCGGAGGTGTGTTGGGGGGCCTGACAGAAGAAGGGGGGTCACGGTCGGTCGGTCGGAATAGCCGACGGGGGCCACGGGGCGGATAGGGCGGGTGGGGGCGCACGGTTGTAGGGAGGAGGAGGTGGACGGGGGGGGCACGGTGGACCCCAGCACACCCAGCACGTATCCCAGCACGCATCCCAGCACACGGGGGCGGCACGCATCCCAACACACATCTTGGCCCTGAGACCCCAACACCCCCAAGCCACACCCCAGCACGTATCCCAGCACACGAAGGCAGCGCACATCCCAGCACATCTCCCAGGACACGGAGGCAACATAGCCCTGCACACATCCAAGCACACGAAGGCAGCACACGTCCCAGCACACATCCCAGTCCAGCGCACATCCCAGGCACGGTCGGTCGGTCGGTCGAAATAATGCACTGCGATATCGCATCGGTAGGTATGATACTTACTGGGGAACATAAACCCTTTCCCTAAGGGGAAGAGTGTTTTGGTAAGAGGAAAGACATACATCGTTAGACCGCATGTCGCACAGAGGGCTGGTGGGATGTTGATGAAGACATTCGCTCATTCCAGAAGATGGGATGTATGGACGACTGTATGGTTGGATTGGTGTGGGAACGGACGGGTGTATAGATGTGTACACGTATGTTTGTAGGACAAAGCAGACACGCACCAGAGCTTGAGCGCGCGCGAAGCGCGCGACGACCCCTCCAGCCCCAAGGGGCGCTCTTCCATGTCCTCCAAAGTTTTGTTAGTCCTCCTTGGCAAGCTTGTAGGGGGCATCGCCAAATCTTTCACTTGCTGTTTGGGGGGTTCTGTCTGAAGGGATCCTGGGCGCTCCTTGAGGGCCTCTGTGGGTTTCCTAGGGTTACCTTCCTGCCACCCATGGTATTTGGAGTGTTTCGGGGGGCGTCTTGGGGCCATCTTGGGCCGTCATGGAACTCTCTTAGGTCCATCTGGGGGCCTTGCTGGACCTTCGTGGGGCTCTCCTGGACTGTCTGCCAGCCCTTTCGGGTTGTTCTGGGACGATGTTCGGGGCCTCTCAGGCGTGATGAGGCGCCTGGAGGCCGGAAAACCGAGCATCCAAAAATCATGCCCTTTTTGTTTGCTGCCTTTGGCCGGCCGCTCCGGGGTACAGTCAACCATGATGTTAAGGATGGGCCACCTTCCCAGGGGTACCCTTGCATCCCTATCTCCCCGGCCCATCCTTCGCCGCTTTCGCTGGCCGCGCCCCGCCCGAGAAGCCTCGAAATGGGCGTCCAAGGCCCTCGCAGCCTTATCGCGCATCCTTACTATACTGGTTGACTGTATCCGTTGGGCTGCCTTCGGGCGTCACAAATGGCCTCTGGGCCCATCCAGCCACCGTGTTCGGGCCGCCCTCGTCTTCTTCCTGCCTCTTGCGCGCCGGACACTTCGCATTTCGGCTGCCCTCCCACCCCCACACCCACCCCCACACACCCCACCCACACCCCCACCCACACCCCCACCCACACCCACACCCACGCCCACACCCACACCCACACCCACACCCACGCACGTTGGTGCATATTGCCTCGCCGCCGACGGAAAAGAAGTGTTTGTGTGGTGCTCCAGAGTGGGAAGGGCGGGCAGCACGACGACAGGAGTCTACCATGAAGGCCTTCGCGGATCTTTCGCTTTCGGATACTTCTGTTCGGTCGCAAATCATGGGAGCCTGGGATGCGCTTTTAATTTTGTCTTCAGCGTCGATTAGCCTCGATTAGCGTCTGGATGTCGATGTGATAGCGCCGATTTAGCGTCGGCTGGCGTCGATTAGCGTCGATTTAGCGTAGATTAGCGTCGACTAGCGTCGATTCGCAACAGCCGACAAGATAGTATGGGAGGCTCGCATGAGTTGCACCGAATTCGCGGGGGCCTTCCACCCCCATGGTGAGGACCTGGAGGCCAGAATTAGCTCAAGACCTCCCGTTGTGCTTTCACAGCTCGAAAGGGAACAGATCGCTCGATCGCTTCATGGTCGCGGTGTGCATGGGAAGTAGAGGGGCTGAGAAGCAAGAGGACGGCTTCGGAGTTCATCTGGACCGCAGACAACCGGAAGGCTCGTTGGAGTTTCTTACATGTGTATCGGAATATGTTCAAGCGTCTTTCGGAGGATTGCGGTGAGCTGCTCAGGGAGCCTCTTTGAGGGCGTGTTGGAGACAAGTTTGAGGTATGTGTAAGCCTCTTGGGAGCGTTTTGGGGCCTTGAGGAAACTATGTTTGCCCCCTTCGGGGGCCTTCTTCTCATCAGCATCAACTCCCTGACGCCTTTTTAGAAAGCCCACCACAATATCCTCGATCACATTTTCGTAGCCATTTTTGGCTCTAGCGACGGTAGCTCAAGCCAGTTCTGCCGCAGTCTCCGTTCTTCGGATCGCAGGCCCCAGTCAATCGGACACACAACCCAGCAATGCCTGCACGCATGCCGCATGCCCCCGAGTCCGACTACATGTTCAAAGTCCTTCTGATTGGCGACTCCGGCGTTGGCAAGTCGAACCTTCTCCTCCGATATGCGGACGATTTCTACAAGCCTGACTTCGAATCGACGATCGGTGTGGACTTCAAAGTGTGTACGCGTACAATCGATGGAAAGGTGGCCAAGATGTACCTTTGGGATACCGCTGGCCAGGAGCGCTTCCGCACGATCACCAACAGCTACTACCGTGGGTCTCATGGCATCATCGTCGTGTACGACGTGACCGACCGCGAGTCATTCAGCCGGGTGCGCATGTGGATGCAGGAGATCGCCAAGTATGCATCGCCTTCAACTCAGAAGATGCTGGTCGGCAACAAGGTGGACCTAGTCTCCAAGCGAGTTGTGGCCACTGACGAAGCCCAGATGATGGCAGAAGAATTGCAGGTGCACTTCCTCGAGACAAGCGCGCGGAACTCGCACAACGTCGAGGGCGCGTTCGAGGTGCTTCTCCGCGATATGGTGGCGAGCGCGGCGGAGGCAGAGTCCACGCAGAGCAGGCCTGGCCTTCCGCTGCGGCGCGAGGCCGTTTCGGGGCAGGGTTGCTGCAGCTGAGTTGTTGTTATTGTTCCACCCATCAGGGCCCTCCCTGATCAGGGTGCTCTCATCGTTGACTTTGTATCAGGCCATCGTTTTTGACTCTGGCTTCTTGCATGTGCCATGAGGCCCTCGTCTTTGACTTCTCTCGGGGTTACCGCCTCCTGTCGCGCAGTCATCGCGTCCCGATAGTGATAACGCTGTCTGCCGCACGAGGCTTTTTTGGGGGGGTCACACGAATGGCTCTCATTACACATCCTCCGCACTTGCCGCGGCCCCAGTGCAGATAGGGGCCCGCAGACGACAGATGCATGTACAGAACGCTTCTCGGGCTAGAAGTGCGAGGCAGGAACAAAAATCATCGATCACATTTAGCAAGCTTCGCGCGCACTTCCAATGAGAATTCACGACAGTGTCGTGCGTCTATCAGAAGTGTGTGGAAGTTTGCATTGAAGCCGACAGCATCATTTCACGACCTTCGCAGGAGCATATCAAATATGAGATCTCGCGTAATTCAAGAAGATATCCACCGGGGAACGCCATGTTTCTCTGGGATGCCACGCCTCCGATGTTGTGGGGGAGGCGTGAGTGTATCCCCCTCCCTCCCCCTCGTCCCGCTCCTTCCTCGTCGCTACCTCCTCCACCCCACCTTCCCCTCCCTCCCTCCTCCCCCGCTCCTCTCCGTCTCGCTCCGTCCCTCGTCTCCCTCTTCGCCCCGAGGGGCCGCCCTCGCCGTCGCTGAAGAAGTGGCAGGCGCTGCGCCCCACTCGCGGCCAGGGCAGGGGGGGATGAGGAGAACGAGGATTCCGGAGGAGGTGGGAGAGCAGAAGCAGGAGGAGCAGGAGGAGGAGGAGGAGCAGCAGCGGGAGGAAGAGGAGGAGGAGGACGAGGAGGAGGAGGAGGAGGAGACGCAGCGGGAGGAGGAGGAGGAGGAGGAGGAGGAGGAGGAGGAGGAGGTGGAGGGGCGGGAGGAGGGGGAGGAGGGGGAGGAGGTGTTAGAATGTAGCCTTGTGACTGGGTGAGAAGGGTGTGCTTGTGTACTGGTCAGACGGATGTCGGTACCGACGCCGTTTAGCTCAAGTGGCCAAGCAGTGCACAGTCGGTTCGTTGCCTGGTAGCAAATAACAGTACTCCGTTCTCGTGCAAATCCTCTTCGGGAATTTGTATGGTAGCGGAGCGAGGTCGATGGCGGCAGCGGCGGCAAAAGCAACGGCTCCCGCAAATCCCGGAGAACCGCCCCCCGAGTTAAATACGCCCCAGGATCGCGATCGGTTTCTCAATTTGAACCAAGCGAGGGTCAGTGAGGTATGTGGAGCGGCGTATTACGGAGGTGGTTACAGGTATGTGGAAGTAGCCCTAAGAGCCAATCGTAAGGGAATGCGGGCCTTCATACAAAAAACAGCGGCAGGAACCAGAGCTGTCACACATGAGGAGAGCTATGGACTGTTACCCGTAGCTCAGAAAATGAGCTCCATGCTACAGAGTATCGTCAAAGGAAATACGCACCCAGAGGAATGGCCAAGAAACTGCAATTGATAATCCAAAATTTTCAAACGGACGCGCAAGAACACGATGGACCAGGTCACCAAGCTAGCGGACTCAGCTGCTGAATGTTAACATAGAACAGGAGGGTGACAGAAACCGGTTCGCGAACATGAGGCCACGCAGCAGTTCAAGGCGTTCGCAGGAGATAATACCAAATTTCGCGAGCGGGGCGACAAGTTGTCAAACGCAATGGTGCAGGCCAGTCCCCACGATCGCAAAGCGCACAACACATGAATATGCACATGTGAAACGATGGATGGAACGTTGCACGACGAACATGGTGATGACATGGTCAGAGTTCGCAATGGTGGGTTAACGCCAGCGGAAAACATGCAGGCCAAACAAGAGGAGGAGGACCGCAAAGAGCAATTTGGCAGGTAAAGATATGATGCGTAATGCTAGACGAGGACATGTGGTACATATCATATGACACGTGAGATGGAGTGGAACCTAGGGGGAAGTTGAAGGGACCCTTGCAGGCGCATCCAAAATACTCTCTCGTTACGAGAGTTATTCATCTTGAGCGCTGACGACTGGGGCGTCTCCGAGCGGGACCCCCCCTCCCCCGTGGACTCCGAGCACGACAGCGTTCGGCTTGGTCAGGCGGGAGATCTTTCCGGGTTTTCCCTTGGCTGGTGTACAACTAATAGTGCATAGCCAATTCGGGATCAAATCTCGCACCCTAGAAATTCACGAGGGGGAAGGCCCTCCCGGACCCTCCCACGCAAATATCAATATCTTCCCGCGTGGAATCACACATGCATTTCACCCCCATACTACTTCTCACCACAGCGGCCAGACATGTCAGTTGTAGGCACTATGATTAGACTTTTGTAACTGGGATATGCCGCAGTTGCCGGAGTTGCCCTGTCTGCCAAAATGAGCCCGGCCATGAATCCCGACAAGCCAAATAACAGTGCTAGCGATGTGGCTACCTAGACAGAAAAGCAGGCAGTGGACGGCATTGGGTGGCAGTGGGCGGCATCCAGCTTGCTCGTTAAGTCTGTCCTTCAGGGTCGCGGCGCGGAAAACCGCCGCGACGCGCCGGCGACTGGTTCGAGGGTTGGCGCCAGAAGCGCTCCCAGACTCTCGGCTCACCCGCGAAGGACAAGTACCAGAAACTGCACATTAAATCCGAGGACTGGGGGCGCAGGAAAACGCTGAATGCTGGCGCGCGGAACCGCTATGCCACTGGTGTCGGGGGCGAGCGTGCCCATGCGAGCGGCAGACGTTGACAGATTGGGATCTATCCAGGAGATGGTCGAGGCTGAAAATCGAATCGCGCTCGATCGCGACGCGCCGGGGCGCCTCGGCAGCTGCGCGGGGCGCGGGGCGACGGGGCAGCAAGCGGAGGTCCGCGGGCGAGGCGGCGCGTGCCAGTTCGGTTGTGCACCAGCGGGATCGCGGAGTCAGAATCCCAGAAAGACAGTGGAGGAAGTTGCAGATGGAGGGTTGTCCGAAGCGGGGAACCCCGGCGGGGGGCGTGTTTCAGCGCAGCCGCCGTAGACCGTAAGTCCCACGCTGGCGCTTGTCATCTCGGGGGTGGGCCGCAAGGGAAATGGCGGGGGCGGGGGCGGCGAGTCGCGCGGAGTAGAAGATGCGCTCGTGATTGGGGGGGGCTGGGGCACCCGCGAGCGCGCCGCGATTGCAAACGGCGCCGCGCATCTCTCCCATCTCAGTCGGCGCCCCCACTGCGTCGCGGGGGGGGCTCGGAGAGGGGGTCGCTTCGATGGCAGCGGCGGCAGGTCTGACTGCGCGCGCCGGGCAAAGTCGGGCCGTCCTCGCGACGGCGCGCAGGGCGACGGCGCGCCCGCGACCGCGTCGCGCAAGGAGGCGGCCAATGGCGCGCGCGACGCAAACGCGGGGTTTGAAGTTAGCCCCGCCGGAGACCCACATGCGAAAGGCGCCTTGTGGCCGCCATTGGAACTGCGCGGGGACACATGAGCACGATGAGAAGTGCGCCTGGGCAATGCTTGCGAAGAAGTTTGCGATGATAATCGCGCCCTGGTATCTGGGCCAGCGCTGGGCGCCGCGTCGGCGCCGAACAGTTTTGCGCCGGGAGTAGAGTGGGGGACCGCGAATTTGCGATTCAGGGGAAGGCGCTCAACCAGCAGTTGCCGAATTGTCAAGAGCGCGCGACGCCTTTCAGAACTCAGGGCGAGGAGGTTGGGCAGAAAACTTGAGAGTGGATGGGGGCGGTGGCGTATTCTTGGGAATTCATGAAATTAGCGAGGAGCTAATCGTCGGCGTGCCCGACGAAGCCGCCGCGGCGCAGGAGCCCTTGAGGCGGGGGGGCGACGCGGAGAGGTGGAACATAGATGTGGCGACATGCACGCGGAGGGCCGGCCGCTGCTCGGGCGGGCCGCGCGCGCCAGGCTGGGGCGACTGCGGCGGCGGCGCTGGGCGGCCCGCGGTCGCCGCGGCGGCGGTCGGCTGCTGCCGGTGCATGCGGCTAAACCACTTGCACGCGGAGCCGAAAGTAGACCAGTGGGGGGATAGGTAGGGGGGCATCTCATTGAGTTGTGGAGCACCACGCAAAGCGTTGTAGCCCCATCCTCTGGAGAGGCGGAGTGCGATGGGATGGTCACAGGAGGATCCGTGGGCTTAGGAACTGAGGCAGGGGTTCCACTGGCGCTACTCAGCTGGTCCTCAAGAGCGTTGGGAGTGCAGCTATCGTCATTGCCAGCAGGAGGGGGTCAGGAGTCAGGACAGCTGAGGCACATTGAAGTTTGCCATGGCTACAAGGGGAAGTTAGGAGAGGGGGCATCAAAGTAATCATGGTCGGCGCTGACGACAATGCAGCTGTTGCGTGAACTGAATGCGTTTATGGCGATGCGCTTATCGCCTGCGTGTCATGAATCAAGTTGCACACAGAGTAGTACCCCAAGCTGAATGCTCATGCGTTGTAGATCTTTGTGGTCAAATTCAATTAATCGGCCCATTTCTTTTTTTCCGAGTCTGAATCACCCGCGCCAGTTAAGCGAATTGCGCCATGGCGAGCGGGGCCCAGGAGGGGGCGGCCAACCTGATCCCGCCGGAGATTCGCGGGCCAGGGCATCCAGAGATTACCGCGCACATCGATGGCAAGGTCTTGATCGGCTCGGGGACCAGACGGGCATCTCATGGGCCCTTATCCACGCGCGCAACTGCGCCAGCGCCGCGGTTACCTAGTTCTTGGATGAGGAATAGGCGCGCCATGACAAGGTTAATTAACCGGGACATTGGCAATGTCCTGGTTGCTTAACCTGGACATTAGCAAATGGTGGAAGCCAGTAGAACATTGATCAAAAGAGCAACGTCGCGATTTGACCATCTGCCATCGTGAAATTGGGAGCCGAGCTTCTTTTCATTTATAGACATAGCAATATCCTCCAGCACCTCTGCATCGATATCGCCCGTTGGAACTATCAGATCGCATATGATTACGGTTGCGTGTCGATGTGAGCCGCATTGACTGCGGACCTGCGTCGCTCGGCGCCCGCGCAAGCGCGGGGCGTTTGAGCCCGAGCGGCGACGGGGGGGGGGAGGAGCACGACGACAGCGGAAACAATGAATGCGACGAGGGCGGTGGTCGATGCCAAGACGCCCCCCACGGTATGTTGTGTTCTGAAACGAAGCCATTGCCATCGTTGTCGCGGTTCGCGATCGAAGGGACAACGTGGGCGCGTGAAACCGCCGACGACGATTGCGACGCAATCGCGGCGTGATGTTTGTAGGTTAACACACTAGTAGCGTCGGTACGGACGACGGGCACATTTGTGATTTCTAATCGACAGACGCTCCACCCCACGGGAAAGTCAGCACGCGCACTGCCCTAAAAAACATCATCTGCGGGCGCCAGACGGTAACCGCGGTGGTGGCGGTGGCGGTGGTGGCGGCGGTGGTGGCACAGCGGGGGGTGGCAAGCAGTTTGGCGAACCGAAACGGGCCGATCGCATTTTCTCGGGCATTGCCATGTCCACGACCGAGCGCAACGACGCTGTTAGGAATGCGGACGAGCACGAGACCCAGATCGAGACGTTAGACGCCAAGGTCGAATCGTTACATCGCCCCAACCAAGACCACGGACGACCAGGCACGCGAGGTGAAGTGCAGAGAGATCGCGGGCAATATGGCATCCATCGCTGAGTTCATTTGTCAAATTGGGGACGCAGGACAGCAGTTGCCCGAATCAGCTCATCGCTCCACCAAGGCTGCTGTGTCTTCGG